AGTATTCGTGGTACATAATATTCATGGTGCATAACGCAAGTAAGTCTTCGTGCTTGTTATGTCTATGACAGATTAAAATGCACAATTATTGATCATTTGTACGTTCTGGGATGGGATGGGAAAAGGGGTTTATGGGATGTCTTATGGGTTAAAAATTTGGGGCTCCCATTTTTGGCTCTAAAAACATAAAATTGCACAATTTCTTTCCAGAACATTTTGTAGAGCTGAAAAAAATAATTTAATACTAGTGTAGGGCCTACATGTTGCTCGAAACCGAGCAATTGCAAAGTATTACAGGAGTTGCTCGAAAACAAATATAACAGTCATAATTTCAGATGATTCGAAAGAGTCAACACAAAGAATGGAACTAATGGAAATACTCACGATGTTCATGACAGTTCAATATAATCAACACTTCTTGTAAATATCTTATCATTTTTCAAAAGCTGATCTAGTTTTTTAGTGTTTTTCAAAAGTGTTTCTCACTCACAGCCGCATTAGGTTGTCTATGTTTATCTTTGTCATTGATAATGTAGCCTGCATGGCCACCCATTGTCGCCAGTACGTTTACAAATTTCAGTTATTTTTTTAGTAGCGATAACATTTGTTCACATTACTTAAGAATTACCTGATTTCCAGCATAACCTAAGTGACACGATTTTATTTGCTTCAATTGGCATTATTTTGGTTTGTTACTGTAACGTCAACTATATTTAGTTAGTTGTAATGTGTTAGTTAAGTTTTTTCACCTGAGGACGGGATCAGATTCCAGATCCCGAAACGTTGTGTATTATTAAAAAAAATTTTTAAAATGCATGTAAACTTAATAATAATGACAAAGGATAGAAGGTTTCAGAGAAAGCTATGTTAAATAAACATTTAAGAAATAATAGGTTGTTTTTCGCGTCCAGTTCATGTTGGTGACTATATAAGTAGGTATAGTTATAGTTTGTTTATTTATCAAAAATCGGTGAAACCCATCGAAATCAATGATTACTTTCAAGGTTTGCGACAATTTTTCACCCCACTTAGTTTAAACAGAGTGATATTATGGATAAAACATTCTCCCATTGATTTTTTATGGACCAGCCTAAGTATTTTGTCGTTAGTTCCGGTCCGGTGGACTGTAGAGATAATGTTTTGTTTACAGATCGTTTCTAGTTATTTCAGTCATTAAAAACCTCGTTAAACCAAAATAAACAATTTAATCGTAAGCAATAACTCTTACCCTATTTCTATAACTAAATAGTAAAGTACAAATCACAAAACTAGCCCTGAAATAATATAAACAAAATATCTTCTTAAATATCCTTCAGTGCCACCAACATGAACTGGACACGACAACCTGGACAAAACAACCTTCCAAATTTACATGGGATGTCAAGTGTACTTGTGTTAGTTAGTGTGATGGTGCCATAAAATTATTAAAACGTTATTTAATAAATGGGTAACAAATTAGGATAAAATATTAATATAACTATTGCCTACTTTACAAAATATGGTTGATTCCCTCACTGTATACAATTTTTTTCGGTACTTGGTACGAGCTTTGACTATTAATACAACGAGTTAAAATATTACTTAAATTAACTTGCTCCATATCGTTTTAAAACCCCCTTCCGTTAGTATTCGAATCGTGACGAATACTCGCCATCTTTTTGGTAAACACAACCAAATATACAGTATTTAAATTTGTAAATTGTAAATTTAAAACTCCCATGCTATTCTTATAAATAAATTAACTGTTGTATTTTGCTTGTTTATAGATTTATTATGATCAAACTTGGGAAATTTGTTTATTTTATACTAAGCTATTGATATTTTACTAAAAAAAAACACACTATACTACCCTCCCTGTAGCAGCAAACCTAAGTACCTGATAAACTTAATTTCATTTATAAATTTAATTAAACAACCAATCAAATGGAAATTTGCTGAGTCTGCAGGTTAGCTGTGGCGGAGTTGTTTTACTCATAAAATAAAGTTAATTTTTAAGATTTTATAGTATCACACTCACACTATTTACTTAATGAGATCGTAAACCGTTAAAGTAACCGTCGATTTCCATGGGTCTCGCATATTTTTGATAATTAGAAAAACTATATATACTTAATCCCAAATAACTCAAAAACCGTTGGGTTTAGAGAAAGGTCATAAATACAAAAAATGTGCATTTTTAGATGGACTACATTTTCTATGTTTAGCTTTTTTCTGTATCTCTAATAATAAAGTCACTACAGCCAAAAATACAGAAATATGCCGCCATTTTCCAATATGGCGGCCGTAGCACAGCTTCAATTTTAGGGGACTTTTAGTACGTTCAAAAGGAAGGTACACCCAACATCTGTACCAAATTCCCCGATTGTGCTAATTTTTTTTAGGTTTATGTAATTTTTCGCTTATTTTTACTGCACTAAAAAACTTATATTGTAAAGTTATCCTGTAAAAAATGATTTCACATTTAGAAATAAATAGTTTTTGGGTTTTGATAAAGTGTCTTTGATGAGTAAAAGTGTAAAAATGTTAAATTTCTGTGAATAATAAACAGTAGGCTAGTTTAAAAAAATCTTTTATTGCAAGTATTCTTCTAACCTAAACTGATAAAAAAGTTCTTCCCAAAAATTTCACAAATAGGGTTAAGTTATGTTCATGGTGGGTGGGGGGGAATTCTAGGTGGTGCTGATTCGGGTGTTCGCTTAACTCTGAAAAATACCTAGAACCGGCCCTGATAATAAGGCATTGCCATCCCTTTTATTGTTTATAATACTTTGATAAAGGTTTTTACTTTTTATGTTTACATTTTACATATTTAATTAATATTGGAGAATTTAAACGTTATTGAGTGCACAGGTGTGCTGCGATTGGGGCCTAATAAATTTTGACTTATCCAAAAGTAAAAGAGTTTTCTGGGCTGCATTCTATTGAAACAGTGTGGTACTATTTCAAATCATGACTAATACAGAATGTGATTATTAAAACCTACAAAACAGTTAGTGAAAGTAAACATCTGATTTTAAGTTATATTTATTTGTAAAGCGGTGTTTACACTGCCAAATTACCACGTCCACAACAGGCGTGGTCGCCACGCCAATGGACAGCCGTACGCAAATGACGTGCCGCCACGGTACCGTCCCACAGCCACAAGCAGCTGTGTAGTGCAAACAGTTTTCTGGTAGAAGCGTATTCATTACAGGCGTGTTCATTTTTATTTCCAGGTGCGTTATGGATTGTGCCAACAGATTAATTATTGAAGGTTGTGCTGTAGTGAGTGTTATTTTAGCTGAAGAAATAGCGTTGCTCGTATGTCTCGATTTCTGTAGCTTTCAATATTTATATAAAACAAACAAGGTTCACTTTGATACAGTTCAAGCATTCAAATTGTTTGACCTTCCGTTAATTTTAAAGATTGCTTTGTTTTCACCGTTTCAATTGATTCGACTTGAGTCAATGTTATAGATTTTTTTGTTTTCGCCATGGTACTTAAAAACTATGACGACAACCACTGACTTTAAAGAACTATAGTTAAAACTAGAAGTACACACAACGACAAGATGAAAGACGTTAACTCCTCACCACGTCTAGCCAAGCCTGCAACTGGCGTAGCAACCAAACATGTTTTGGTTAGTTCTAAAGGGCTTGGGGAACAGACGTATTGGGTTGCCACGCCTGTTGCTCCCACATCTCCACTGTTTTCACGAGGCGTGGCCGCCTCTCAAGAAAGTGAGAAAATTTCTTAACTACACGCCTGATTTTAGCCGTGACTCCACAACAGCGTAAACCCCGCTTAAACATTGTAGTTCCAAAAGTCTGACATTGGACCCCTTTAAACCCTCTGGGGCAGAGCCCTTTTGACGTATCTGCGCCTAACTTCACACAATCCATCCTTGAATAATGCCTGAAAGTTTCATTTACTATCTGTTGAGCGTTACATACATACATACTTCCTCTTTTATACATTTTATATTATAGGCTTGACTTTCACAGTACTATTCATAAGCAGGTCAAATCGTATCAACATTCAATACCAAGAATTTATGGCTACCTAGCAAATACCACTTGTGTTTAGCTGCCGTGTTGATGTCAGACTCAAAGATCCGTAGCTACTTAGGACCAAATCACAATTCAAACCAGTTTCATTCAATCAACTAAATGTTTCAGAAACACACTTTTTTAAATTTTGTTTTCTTTGTAGATTTTTTTGCAGTTAGCATATGTTATTAGAAGTGATGGGCAGATCCAAGAAAATGTCGGTACCGGATCCGGATCTTGAAAAATTCGGATCCTGATCCAGATATACACTGTCATAAGGGCGGGTTAAAAAAACGTAATTAACAGAATGCCAATTTAAATCATTCTGTTTAAAATTAAATTGGTAATGTTTAAAGGTAAATATATCTTATGTATAGAGTAATCTCCAGTTGAGCCCATAATCCCTCATTTTTTGGGGACACTAACACTTTTCAAAATCTTAAAATGAAACTTATCTTAATGAAGTTTGCACGACCACCAAAAGGGTATCTGTGTATACTGTTTTTTTTAGGAGTAAATAAAAAAACACCCACAGGTTATTTATGTAGATATTAGCTTTAGTACTGGAGAAAATGTATAATCAATAGATACATTTTTGGAAAACTAAAATTTTGATTTAATACATATTAAGGATGAAATTTGTTAGTTACTTTTCAACCAATCGGACCTCGCCGACAAGTTTTGTAACTTGGCAAGGCCAAGCCTTTGAAATATTTTGAATAAATGTATTTCAAAGGATAGAATTGACAATTTCACTGCTCAGGGGCAAAACAGAGGAAGGTAACCAAGTTTTTTCTAGAGACCCAATATAATTATCACAGTCAATTAATTGTCATGTTAAGACAATTAACTTGGTATTGGTAACCCTGCAGCATTCTTTAAATGTAGACAGAAAGTTGATTACAACCACTTTCCTAACAATATGTTTTATACAATACCAACGGGAGCACGGAAGTAAATAAAACACCAAGTTTCTTAACTAGAATAATTTATTTCTCATGGTAGAAAAAGGAGATAGCATGCTTGCATGGACTATATATATTGTTTGCGTACAAAAAATGAATTCAACGATACAATTCTTCATTTTTTTACATTCAATATAATATAATCCTTATATAAACTGATTTATTATTGTATCTGAACGCCCAGTTGCCTCTGTATCTCGAGGCCTAGTAATAAGTCAGTTCTAAGCTATGCCAAACCAAGTCCAGGACGATGTGACAAGAAACATGCGACAGGCCAAAACATACACTTTTGAATTTCATCTCAGTTGTAGGTGGTTATAATTTTGTGTTTACTAAATGTCGATCTACAAGACACGGTCAGAAAGTTACCCTGTACCTGCACGGATAACAAGATGTAAGTTATTGTACCGTGTATAAGGCATATACTTACATATACAGTATCACACACTAGGCATACTATAATATACCGTATCAAAAATTGGTCACTAACCTTCAACTGGTTAACTTAATTAATTTAACAATCAACAAAAATTACAATAATCCGATAGGAACACTGGACCGAACAAATGTTAACAATCTTAACAACACCTCAGTCTCGCGTCGGAACCTCTCCCCTTCAACAAAACATTGTGACAAATCATTTTTATCGAGAGGATCTTTTCAAGTTCAGCGAAAATTCCCATTAACAAACCGGTCCGCGGACAACCTTGAAAAATACACTCCTTTAAGGCACGGCTGATATTTAACCTGCAATCTATAGTTTTGATACAAGATCGTTAAGCTAAAAATGATTTGTCTCTCGAAAGAAATAAAAAAATCCAGTGTTCCGATAATTTCAATACAATTCTTAAAAGAATACGATATATCATTCTATATCACATCGTCTAACTTATGAAAACATCATCCACACGGAAAACGGGTTGCAAACAAAAACATGTTGTGATTTGACGTTCCGGTGGAATCAGTTTATTAGTAATGCAGAAATGTGGTTATAGTGGGGTTGAAACGTGTGGTGGAAAACAAAACTGTTATACAGGTTATAACTTATAAGGAATGGCTTACAAAAGAAAAAGAATAAACTGTATAAATGAAACACCACTATTTTATGTTCACTACCCGATGTAACCCAAAAGTAAATATGATAATTGCCAAAATGGACCTTTTACATAACAATGAAACAAATATAATATGATCTATTTATTCTATTAACAGAACACATTGAAATCCATATAATATATATATATTTATATATTTATACCATGCATAATAAATCTTTAAATAAAATGTATTTCTTAACTGAAACGAATGCCCATTGATTTCACTAATTTAATACTTAAAAGTAAATAATTTCTCTTAACTTTTTCACAGATATCGAGGAAGGAAGTTTTCTTGTTAATGTTTTACAATCGTACACTTTTTACCTACACTAACTTCTGATTTCAACTCTTGCTATGAAATGAACAAACCTCTCAAAAGAAATAATGCCAAGGAATGTGCGCTGTTAATCTGCGATGCAAGGCAAAGAGTCGTGTAGGCAGTGTACACCTTCGGACGCATCAGTTAAAGGTACATTTTAGAGAAAGCCTCAAAAGATCTGGTTTCACCTGAGTCGTAAGTCACTAGTCCCTGAGACGTTACTTTGTACTACTGCTTTGTTGACGGGATAAGCGACTCTGCCGGTTTGTATCACTCGACCGAAGGGAACCGAGAACGTTTTGTAATGCGAAAGCTCCAGCGCTAATAAGAATACAACTTAGTAATACCCGAGGAAACCACAATTGAAAACATTTCAATGTCACAAGCTTAAACTGACTCCATGATTCATTAATGCCCTTTGATCCTTATTGTAAATAAGGCGGAAGTACCCGACGGGTACATGCTCGAATCTACTCTAAGACCAATTCTGTGAGGTAGAGGAGATATGATATCCGTTATAAAAAATAAAAAAACAAAAAACAGAACAATAAAAGGCAGCTAACAATGCGGTATAAACAATAATCCGTAGCATCGAAACAAAACACTATTAAAATCTACTATATTGTGGCTATCGTTAGTATAATGAAAACAAAATATTCTTTAAAACAACATATTGCTATGAGCCAGCAATGAAAGGCGTTTTCCGCTCCAGTGTAATATAAACAACGGGTCGAAGGACGTATGTCGGTTTACGAACAACGGCCGCAAGACCCAACGCCGCACTGAGGTAAAGAAGAACCTGTATATTGTATACTTAACTCTAACTGTGTATAACGTTAAATATATTGTACGAAAAAATAAAACATTACATATATAAAATACTCTCTGCAGCAATAACAATATGTAAAAAACAGCAAGTTGAAGGTGCGGAAGGGCCTTGAGAGCCGTTGCCCGGCGCCTGTAACAATAACACTCAGATAACCGACAAACAGCCCCACGCCCGGCACTGAGCGAAGCGAAAAACACTTAGAAAACTCAGACTATATATCTTGAGCATATTACAAGTTGTGTCAACAAAAAACAAACGTGAGAACCTCTGCACGGGTCCAGGCATCAGCAAGACGGAGTAAAGATTTGTCGGGTCGGTAAAAATACATCCCTGCCATCAAAAAAATAAAAAATCATTTCCAATGAATTACGCACACTTTTTAAAGTTCTCAATGACGTTATAAGGGCGGTTAGGAAGGGAAAATTCACAATATCGGTTTCAGTCCTAGTGCTTACATTTCAAAAAGGTTTAGTACTTAAATTGAGGGTATGCCATAGGTTACAGATGAGATCTTTAAATAGCACTCCAAGATTGTCTATGCGTAAACAGCTTATTTAGAAGGGATTTAATAAGTATTCGTACTAAATCCACCGTTCAGTTTGTTAAATTCTGACAAAGGGCTGACAGAGGCGTAAAGAGCGCAGACTAATTTATTTCACGAACGGTGTGTTAAAGTGCGAGAAATCCGAAACCGAATTCCCCGCTAATATATAATCCGATCTATTGTATTCACTTAGATAACATTCTGATAAGGAATCTCCATTTTCCACATAGCGAACAATGCTATGCGCCATATTTTAAAAAACTTTATCAATAAAATTTCATCGTAATAAAAAATCTAACAAAAAATTTAAAAATTCGACAACAATGTATCAAAAATAATCTCAAGTGGATTATCGCCACTTTTAAATAATTTTCTATAAAAGAAATGCCCTCAATTTGAAAAATTCTCTTACGATCGTTTTAATCCTAGATTACAAAATGAGATTCGGTTCGGCCGCCGCCCGATATAATCTACAACAAGTTGGGAGACGACCTAGCGATATCTCTTTGTACTTGCACTGACTGCTCCTAGCCCTAACCCACACTCCTAAGTCTTTGGTATAGGTGCGTTGCTGCGGTGTCGTGTTACTGCGGGTCTTGGCGAGGTCCTCGCGGCGTGCGACCACCCGAGCCTCCGGCCGCTACTACCATCGATCTGATGCGTCGTTGCGCCGACTGTAACAGAACAAGGAAACATTAAAACACCAACACATTAACAACAACCAATGAATTTTACCTATATAAATAATAAGTAAATAAATATATCTTACTATGTAATGGATACATTTTTGTTAGGGGTACGTTTTTGTTATTCCTATCCACGAAATTATCGAGCCTGTCGGTTACATCACGACTACAATGAACAACAATGAACGGCGTAAAACACTAGACATGTCCAGCGCTGACGTAGCGGTGGTGGGATAGAGCGGAGACCGGCCGGACAGTGAACTGAGTCAGTCGGTGATGAGCAAAAGGTTTGTCCACTACTAATCTCTCGAGACTGTGTGCATACGTTGTATGTACGCAAGCGATCGAGTATTAAATAAAACTCAAATAATTGAACAAATTCAACACGTAAGTACTGTATTAGCCTAATGCTTAAATTAGTGTACATCTATATCTAGTGCTAATATCGATATTGTGACCTTCCTCCTCTAACCTTGGCGAAATTAGATTATTTATTTCACGCAATAGAATATTTCTGAGTCCATGCTATAGTTTACTCGCCTTTTGTTCCTTATATTTTAAAACCACATTTAATTACTTCGAAGCCAAGAAGTACATGGCTTCAGACAGGAGGTCGATTAATTTTATTCCTAGGAGGTTGTATTATTTTAGTTAGTTTATTTTTCTATTTATTATTTTACTTCCCTTACAAGTGGATTCTTTTAGTTTATTCCCCGAATACCATCGTTTCATTAGCCTGAGGGATAGGCCGCGTACATTTAATTTCACAAAGAAAATTTGATTTATCAGTGTGACGGTGTGCTGACTCGGTGCGCGCAACCTAACAGTTATTGTTATTAGACTTTCATTGAAATTTGGAGTGTTAATGTGCCGACCTTCTTCGTGAGTGTGATAGTGCTAGTAGGTCGTTACCGTAACGCCACCCTAGGAGTGACAAAGATAGAGACATCACGATAGGGCCCTGGAGGTCTCGAGCTGTACGAGCGAACGGAGGTAAGTTTAGGCTAGGTAAACCTTAACACCGCACAACTAATATTACAAATGTGAAAGTTTGTGTGTTTGTTTGTTTAAAATTCAATCACACATTAACTACTGGTAGGATTGAGCAATTCCCTTGTTAACCTTATCATTATTCATATTTGAGATATATAGATTAAGAATTTTTCCAGCTGTTTCAACTACACAGGTTGGTTCTATGATATTCAATAGCATTAAAAAGTTATAGGGTTTCCCAATATAGGGTGCAGCATTATAATTTTTTTTTTTCATTTACGACAACATCTAATTTGAACCAAGCAGTAACAAAAAGCTGTGATACACAATAGGAACTGACAAAATAGGATTTTTTATAGTTATGCTTATGTTTTTGATTTATAAATAATTTGTGATATTGTGCCAATATTTGGTAATTTACTTTTTTCTGTTGTTTAGGTGCAGTGGTAGAACATTATTATGGCTATGGTAGATGTTTTATACTACCGCATACCGCAAATTAAAAGAACCAAATTTTCTTAAACCGTGTCCTTCCCCATTGCAAACACAAAGCACGAGTATAACTGCAATAAGCATTTTATACTTACATGCCAACCCAGTACGAAGGACAGGTACTCTGCTAGTAGGCCTATATATATATATAATCTAAATATGGATTTTTGGATTAGAGTCAAGTCTAACAACACTATTACACCGTACCTGGACAGAGAAGAAAGGGCCGATGATGTGGACAGTGGTCTCATCATCTTGCGAGGGTGGACTGGCCGATTGTTCCGGCAGTTTGATGATGCTGCCTGTGACTCTCTGCAGCTCACGCACATTCTGTCCTCCCTTGCCTATGATGCGGCCCACCTGACTGCTAGGTACCAGTATCTCTACTGTCAGACGCACGTCGTCACTCCCGCTCACGAACCCTTCTTCCCGCATCTTCTCAAAGATTAGGTACTGGGCCTGCACAACGCAACATATCTCTTTTACAGACTGGATCTTAATTATTCTAGGGTAATGTTTCTGTGTAAACTTGCCTAGGAATCCTCAACAAAAGAAACAGTCCTAGATGACTCAGATTGCACAGAGATATTACCATGATTGATGCTAGGCTAATAAACCAATACAGAATCAACATATCTGTGTAAAACTAACAATATTATAACAATAAAACCTCATATACAACGGGTTATTAAATAACAAGCAGAAATTATTTTTGTAAATAAATTCTCCAAACATGACTATTTCTATTTCATTATTCAAAGAACATAAAAATATTGAAACATATTCATTAAGATTTCAACAAACTAAAAAAAAATAATTGAAAATGAAACGCTAAACAGGCCTGTTTAACTAGCACATTTAAAGTATACTTCATAACTTTTCAATTGTTTAAAATTTTTTAGCTATATTTATGTATGGAAAATTGTGTATGTGAAATCTAAACTACCACACACATTTTAAATACTATACAAGAATTAATATGTACTGTAAAACTAACAATATTATAACAATAAAACCTCATATACAACGGGTTATTCAATAACAAGCAGAAATTATTTTTGTAAATAAATTCTCCAAACATGACTATTTCTATTTCATTATTCAAAGAACATAAAAATATTGAAACATATTCATTAAGATTTCAACAAACTAAAAAAAAATAATTGAAAATGAAACGCTAAACAGGCCTGTTTAACTAGCACATTTAAAGTATACTTCATAACTTTTCAATTGTTTAAAATTTTTTAGCTATATTTATGTATGGAAAATTGTGTATGTGAAATCTAAACTACCACACACATTTTAAATACTATACAAGAATTAATATGTACTGTAAAAACAAACACACAACTACCAAACACTACAGAATACTCCCTGATTTTATTAATTGCTGCTTTAATCACATTACACATTTTGAATTCTTAACCAGTTATTCTAATTTGACAATATCTTCATTCTTCACAAAGCTAATAGTTTATTCCTTTTTCATCTGCAATAACTCATTACTTTTTATTCCTCTCCCCTAAAAAAACTAAATGAAAAACAGTTAGATAACTAAGAAAACAGAGAAACACTTTTTTATAAATAAGAATAAATAAATGTAACTTAACTAAAGAAAAATGAATTTATACTTTGAAATTTAATAGTATCTGATCCTAAATACTTAAGGTAAGAACTAGAAGAAGCAATGTATTAAAGTAAAGGCCAGATAAAGGATCAGACAATAAATAAAGGGTGAAGACAAGAAAGGTAAATACAATTTAACTCAATTATCCTCAATATTTTAGTGTCTATAACATTCAACTAAAATAGACTCCCGATTACTCACAATAATGAGTAGCAGAGTGATCTAGAATAATCAATAATGCAAACCTAACCCAACTTTGATTCTGCACGCATTATTAAGCTTTAATACAAGTTTAGGTAGTAATAAACCGTTTTAAATGCAGTGTAAATAACATTCAACTAAAATAGACTCCCGATTACTCACAATAATGAGTAGCAGAGTGATCTAGAATAATCAATAATGCAAACCTAACCCAACTTTGATTCTGCACGCATTATTGAGCTTTAATACAAGTTTAGGTAGTAATAAACCGTTTTAAATGCAGTGTAAATAGCTTTTAAACTTTGTTTAACAATTGTCTAGTAACAAAATTAATAATTTTGGAGAGCTTATTTAGGCCTAACAAAAATTAAAACGCACACAAAATATTACTTTCAAACTCATTGGTTCTGTAATCACTAATCAGTGAATCATCAGTGGTCTGGCAGCTCTATAGTCTGGTTGTGAGATGATGTAGATTCTTAATCTAAACATCTAATATAGTAATAATCAGAAGTCTACTCTGCAGTATAAAGTGTTCATCCCCCCAAATTACATTGAAACTTGCTTTAGATTAGGGATGGACGGGATTGAATTTTTAGTTCGGGACGGGACGGGACGGGATTTTTATTTCCTTCCCGATTTTCGGGACGGGACGAGACGGGATTTTTTCTGTGCCTGAAAAGAAAGTACTGTATTGCAGTTACCAAAAAAGACATACGAAATCAATTTTTACCATTTGTGGCACTGATCTATAAAAACAAAAAAATGGGTAACAATTTACAGGTACCTATAGTAACTTGTAACTCGCGGATCACGGGGTGATCGTCTGTATGACTCACAGTCACGGCGCGATCGTCGTCATGACTCGCGACTCGCGGTCACGGCGCGATCGTCGGTATGACTCCGCGGTCACGGGGTTATCGTCGGTATGATTCGCGGTCACGGGGTTATCGTCGGTATGACTCGCGGTCATGGGGTTATCGTCGGTATGACTCCGCGGTCACGGGGTTATCGTCGGTATGACTCGCGGTCACGGCATGATCGTTGGTATGACTCGCGATCACGGCTCGATCGTCGACATGACTCCGCGGTCATGGCGCGATCGTCGTCATGACTCGCGGTCACGGCGCGATCGTCGTCATGACTCGCGGTCACGGGGCGATCGTCGTCATGACTCGCGGTCTCGGCGCGATCGTCGTCATGACTCGCGGTCACGGCGCGAACGTCGTCATGACTCGCGGTCACGGCGCGATCGTCGTCATGACTCGCGGTCACGGGGTTATCGTCGGTATGACTCCGCGGTCACGGGGTTATCGTCGGTATGACTCGCGGTCACGGCATGATCGTTGGTATGACTCGCGATCACGGCTCGATCGTCGGCATGACTCCGCGGTCATGGCGCGATCGTCGTCATGACTCGCGGTCACGGCGCGATCGTCGTCATGACTCGCGGTCACGGGGCGATCGTCGTCATGACTCGCGGTCTCGGCGCGATCGTCGTCATGACTCGCGGTCACGGCGCGAACGTCGTCATGACTCGCGGTCACGGCGCGATCGTCGTCATGACTCGCGGTCACGGCGCGATCGTCGGTAGGACTCCGCGGTCATGGCGCGATCGTCGGTATGACTCCGCGGTCACGGGGTTATCGTCGGTATGACTCGCGGTCACGGCAAGATCGTCGGTATGACTCGCGATCACGGCTCGGTCGTCGGTATGACTCGCGGTCACGGCGCGATCGTCGGTATGACTCACGGTCACGGCACGATCGTCGGTATGGCTCCGCGGTCACGGGGTTATCGTCGGTATGACTCGCGGTCACGGCGCGGTCGTCGGTAGGACTCCGCGGTCACGGCGCGATCGTCGGTATGACTCGCGGTCACGGCGCGATCGTCGGTAGGACTCCGCGGTCACGGCGCGATCGTCGGTATGACTTCGTCTCCTGCGTTCGTGGACCTATCGCTCGCAATAACGGCGTTATTGGCACTCGCGAAGCGGAAAAATCGCCGACGATCGGACCAAATCCCGTCCCGAAAAATTCCCGAGTCAAATGTAATCCCGTCCCGATAATCGGGAATATTTTTTTCCCGAAAAATTCCCGAAATTTCGGGACCCGTCCATCCCTACTTTAGATCTATATTTTGAAACCACTGGGTGAAATGAGACGTAGGAATTGGCTAACTCGGTTGTGTGGCGAAACTGACTAACTGTCCCAGACAGGAATTGGCTAACTCCGGAACCCGCAAACTCGAGTTTGTCCCGCGACGGAATTCGCTAACTCTGGAGTCGATTACCCGGCCGCGCCCACTGCACGGAACGTTGCCAACCTTGTACGACGAAATAATCGTACACTGCCACATTTCAAAATGACAGTGTCAATAAAGATACAGTAATAATTGTTATTGTTTTTATTATCAATTCTACTTATAACAGCTACCTAGCCTAAAGTATTTATAAGGCAATTAAAAAATCATTAAAACGTTATTTTTTGTATTTAACTGTACAACAGCCAATTAAATGTTTATGATTTAAATCTTAAATATAAATGCCAGTATTATAGGAAAATAACAGAATATGAAGAATATTGAGAATCCAGTTGTACTAATTAAACCGTTATAAAAGCTAAATACACGTATGTTCTCAAACACGGATAACAAATTGAATCGGGATGTCGTAATATACCATTGATAATACAGTCATTAACCATCGTGACATTTCATAACTAATTCATAGAATTAAAGGATCCTCGTTGATTCCTCCAACTTGTAAAAATATTACATATGTTTCATAACATTTTATAGAATAGCTGTAAACCTAGGCCTAATAGTAAAATCTAGTAGCCTAATCCTAAAACGTGTTGAATTTATGAGTAACAATGTTCCATGTTTTAATAACAGTTTTTAAGATTGTAAACCTAAGCCTACTAGTAAGTAATAGGAGAAGATATAATATTCTTATATTAAAACGTTACCTGGGGAGCGAGCTGGTCCAGTGGTTAGAGCGTGGGACTTCGGGCCCTGAGGTCCCGTGTTCAAATCCCACCAAATCACTAATGGATTTTATCTAAGTGATAATGCCGCAACCCCTAGGTCTAGCCTGAAGTAATGTGAAAACAAATCCCGGGCTCGTGCCTAGCGTCTTAGGACAAAAAAGTATGAAACGTGACAGGGTTAATTTCACGTTTCTGAATCAACCACTTGACGGATTTTCCTGATTTTCCCGGAATTTTACCCCTGTGCAGACATAGAAATTTTGAGGTTAATTAATTTTCTGATTTCTGTTGTACAATAACACAATATGCCTTTTAGTTTCTTCAGGCACAGACCATGGGTTTCCTTACAGTAGTCAACTCAACAATTGGTCGAATACTTTACCGGATGACTACAACTACATTTTACAACAGGTCTTTCGATGACCTTTTTTAGTACAAACTATCAATAGCTCATAGTTTGTGCCTGAAGAAACAATAAGGAAAATTTTGTTACTGTTACAAAACAAACGAGAGAAATTGTGTTTCCACGGTCGTAAAATAAATCGTTAAACAAATGTTCGAAACAATGATCGTTAATATGGGCTACTATGTTTGTTTACATACATATTACCCAACAGTTGGTCCCAAAAATTGAATCCCGAAACCCGAATCTCAAAATTAAAATGCAAAACCTGTTTTATTAGTTGAGGTTACAAATTCATAAAGATAGGCTACTTAATAATAACATGTTTACTTTTAAATTAAAACGAAAAATTAAATGAAAGAAGAAAATTAATTATTCTCACTAGTTTCTATATCTGGCCAGAGGGTTATTCCACCCCCCCCCCCTGAAGTATTATTGGTATTGATTAATTATTGGTGGAATTCCGGAGGGTAAAAATCCAAGCCGTACATTTTGAGCTGACCTCATGAAGGGAAAAGTCCGAGGGTAAAATGCCGGCCCGTACACTCTAGGTTTTATAATTTGACGTGTTCTGATTAAATTCACAACCGTGAAAATATACGTTTAATTCCACCTTAAATTTGTTGAACTGATGTTATGCAACTCAAAAGTTCGCTGCTGGAATTTTACCCTGGTTTGTGACGTTTTCTCAGGGGGTAAACTTTCAGGGGGATAAAATTCCGCTACCCTGATAATATAGGCCTAATATAAGTTAGGTGTATAAGTATGTGTAATAATATAAGTTTTCTGTGGGAATATGGACCCAAATTAGACATATTTTTTCAGAAAACTATCGCTTTAACTGTTTTGTAATTGATTAATCAATATTATAAGTGTTATAAGTGGTTTGCGTGTAGATAGTTCTCTTTATGTTCGAATGTCTGGTATTCCTTGCTCGATGGATACGACGTTATGGCACCGATACGATTGTAGGTACAACACTTTCGGCAACACTGGCCGACAATCTTCGTGCTTGGCTCCCCTTGGACGGAGCGCGAGGCTTCTGATTGGGAGTTAGCGAGTTCCACCGAGGGACCGAGTTAAACTTCCATAACAGGACAGAATTCGCTACCCGGATCTAGAGCGGGTTAGCGGGTTCCGGAGTTAGCCAGTTAGGGAGTTTCTCTCGTCAACAAAATTTGAAGATAAAGCATTTGACATGGGGTTTGACAAGCAAGTCCCACTGACTGTTTTGATAGGTGACGAAGAGATCTCTTCTTGCAACAATGCTAAGTTTCTTGGTTTGGTTTTAGACAGACAGCTCAACTTTCATGACCATATAGAGCTCATATCCAGATGAATTAGCACAAGAATTTTTGTGATCAGAGGTCTTTCGAGGTTTACCGATTCTCGTGTAACCTTGAGTGCCTATTATGGACTGATTTACCCATTATTGTCGTATTTGGTGGCAGTTTGGGGCTGTGAGAGCGTACGAACAAAGTTTGTCTTCCGTCTTCAGAAAAAGGCCCTAAGAGCAGCCTTCAGAATATCCCGTCGTACTTCTTGCAAGCCTCTCTTCAAGGAATACAATATCCTTACATTTCCATCCATATACATACTCAGTTGTCTATCGTTTTTAAAAAGAAATTATCATCTGTATCAACCGCAGTTCCATTCAATGCAGTACACTCTCAGACAAAAAAACAATATTAAGCTACCTAAGCACAGGACAAGTTTCTTTGAGAGACACCTATTTTATAATAGTATCAGGTTTTTCAATGTGTTGCCTGAACCCCTGAAAGAGGAGCAAGACAAAGACAAATTTGGGAGAGCGGTCAAACGCATACTCTTGGAACAAGCTCCCTACACTGTGAAAGATTTTTTAAGTTGCCGATCGAATTAAGATACTGTTCGGTTACGTTTTAGTTCTAACAGCATTTATAATTTAGTTTTATTATATAATAACATTCTTGTGACGCTATTATACAGTTTTTTTCTGTGCAAAAATAAAGATGATTTGATTTGATTTGGGTTAGTGAGTTTCAGAGTTAGCCAATTACGCGGACCCGGTGAAATTAATACATAAATATTTTTAAAAAGGGGTTGTAAGGTGGAACTAGTTTGGTTCCATCATTGTAAGACAGTTAAAATATGTGTACTACACAGCGTTTTAAAGCCTTCCCCCCCCCTTTTTTTCATTGGTTTTAGCTGTCATGCACTCCAACATTAGTTCAAAAGACATTAACAGGATTTATAACCCAAACTGATCCTACACAGACTAAATGTCCCACTTTTTCTTCTGTGATAAGCGCACCACATTTCAACCCCCTCCCACAAAGAGAAAATCACATTGAAACTACATCCACCGAAACTATTGACCAAGAAAAAAACTATTGATTTTTTACTTTAATTAGTTAACCACAGCGCTTTTTTTAGTTCCTAGTTTTTTTGTTCCTGCACAAATTTAAAACAAAGAAATACCCTTCTTTAGGTTAGTACAACATGTTAGTGTACTTCAAACCTTCTCTTGAAAAATAATCACATTGAAAATCCAAACAACAACAACATTGAATCAATTGAAACAATTGACTAAGAAAACAATTTCATCTTTTCTGCTCCGTGGTAAACCATCAAAATTTCATCAAAACTCAAACCCTCTACAGGAACATGATCGCAACACGTTTCTACACCCAACATATATTCCAAGGCAAAAAAACACAAGAATTACAAGGGCAGCTACCTTCCACTGGGATTCAGGAGATCCCACAATGGTAACCTTGCGCTCAGCCTGCTGAGAGTCCTTCTGGTTCTCATCCATCGGAGCTATCTTGACGGAGGCTCCGCTGAACCTGATCATGTTGCGGATATGCGATCCCTTGGTGCCGATGATGGCACCCACTGCATTGTTGGGGATGTAGAGGTACGTTGTCTCCTGCAACATCCACCACACAATCAACATCTCACATCCCAATCTTCTGGACAGGAATTTAAAGTGAAAGTTTAATATGAACTTGGCTGTTGTAGATTCCACGGAAGAAGAGTCTAGGTCATTGTGTGAAAGGCTCTCCATTTCTTAATATTTTGTGTTCTTGGACAGCAGAAATCAAATATAGGATACATGATATTAAAATTAACATTTATCTTACTTCAAAAATTTTTTAACCAATGAAGAACTTTATTTTACGACACAGTAGTTAACAGTAAATCATGTTTTCGGTATGAGTTTCAATTACTTAACAAAATTGAAATCAGACGATACTTATATTCTGGTGGTTACAACGAATTCATATTGGTTTTAGTTGTTCACAGTTAATTCAATGTTTTAGTTAAATTAAAATGTACTATGACCAAATCTAAAATATTCAGCAAAACATTTGTCAAATCTTTCAAATCGGCAAAATTAATTGTTGGTACAGTATCTGGTAATATTGTATCATAATGTTGTAATTATTCTCTTGGTAACTGTTGTTTGGATACTAAGACCTCAGATGTGGTTGCTTATTGAACTGATTAATATTTATTTAGTTTGGTGTCAGAGAGAATTCTTTCAGATTTGACTGATTGAATTTTCATTCAAAAATGTTTATCAGCCAAACCATGTTGCCATTTCAACTCTGCTTTTTAACAAAACTAGAAATGATGCTTCAAAATTTTGATGCGACTGATGGTTTTACTGCTGAAGGAAATGACTTGAGCTGACCATTATTTTAGTGACCGATATTGATATTACAAATAAAAAAATACAAAGTCATGGAATAGAGGTGAATCTCTCTTAAGGTCTAGATCTGATGTTTGTAAGAAGTAAAAGAAATAAAAACCCGTGTGAGAATCGCGTAAGTGTTTACAGAGAGATAAATTTATAATTACTGAAAATTAACATTCAATACCGTACGCTTTAGTGAATTTAATGTATGATTTCATAATTGAAACAAAAATGCTACCATCTCTGTCAAGAGTTAAAGATGAACAGACATCATCAAACATCCCAAGGTTTAGTAAGGGTTTCTACTGTATAGGTATAAAATTATATTTTCCTTCTACATGTAGGCTAATATCATCGATCTACTTTACGAATTACAAATTATACTTATGATGCTTATTTCTGCTACTAACTGCAGTACATGTAAAACATTTGTTGACAAGTCAAAAGATATCGAAGTTATAAAATTGATTGGACAAAATTTGTTAATGCATGAACAATTATTAAACATTTTTGTTTTTTATTTTAAGGCAAGAAACTAAGAGTTACCCAGTCATGTTGTGTCATGATAAAAATGGTAGTTGTAAAAATACTGTCTTTTAAAATATTCTTAAGAATTGTAAGTATTAAGGAAAAAACTTAAATTTTCATCATTAGATGAACGTTAGCTATGATTTACATTTGACCTAAATGTGTTTCAAGATTACAAGACAGTAATTAAAGAATTTCAGTGATAACAAAAACTGTACATTTCATTGAACTTCTACTATTTATTCTTTAATATTGCTGATAATTAAAAAAATATGTTAAATAAAAAAAAACTAAAGACATGGTACAGAAGAGAAAAGATGACACAAATCCAAAATTAAAACCACACGCAAACAACAACCAAGCGTAAAATACAAGCAAAAATGCACGCTAGTACACTATTTTACGGTATTTGGCTCGGCATAAATACGTTACGTCAAAATTGGCCCCCACCTAAAAAAAGTTCTAGAAGCTTTCAATTTTGAAAAATGCTTTATGTTTTCTGGTAACAAAAATAGATTTTCTAGCACAACAATAAGCTCAAGCCAATTAATAAAACAGCATGCTATCGCAACCTCGGAATGCTAACCTCAATGGCGCAGTAGGGGTCGTAGCCTTCTGTATCAGTGAGAAACGGAGGTTCATATCCGCCATACAATGGATCCTAGACAGCGACCACCATTCTTACAACCAACCCAACTCTCAACTACATACCACACTCCCTAGTATGGCATCATTAGGTTTACTAACCATAGACCTCGTCAACAATTGCTTCTTAGGAACAAATCATTTTGACTGGTTACGGTTCATCATCACAAAGGGCTATTTTGTAAAAATTAAGGATTATTTCAAATAAAAATTAAAGTGGTGATGGTATTCAGAGGGAATGTGTTGTTATTAAAAAGACACCACATGTTTGCAGATGGTAGCAGAAATCTACAACATAGTGTACCACAATCTCCTTTTTAGAAAATTATACTTTAGCAAAGCTAATTCTATCTTGTTTACTCACTATTCACTTTTTATCTAATTATCATCACCTGGTTGAAATTAATTCTTATAAAAAGACCAATAGGCTACTAAACTTGAAGAGTTTTAAAAACCAAAACTTTAATCAAGACAACAAAATTTCTAAAAACTTCTAAAAGGAGTTACAATAGTCACAATGCACACAAACGGGTTTAGGGCATAGAGTTAACAAGCGACATTCACAATAACAAAAAAACTGAAACGATAAGCTTAATTTGACAACATTAACATTGCAGTTTCAATTATAGATGTTTAACTCAGTGAGGACCACTATTGCTTGTAGAATTAGAGTATTAAGGTAGAGTACAGTGTGGTTTTTAATGAAGAATAGATGAAGCAGTGGATAAACTGAGAGTACCCACTACATTTTGTATGTTACTTTTGCTGTTATGATCAGTGTTTTCTGCACTCACCGAGGCGTCACCCCCCGGAGGTCCGCCAGCCAGAGGGGGAGGTCCACCCTGGTACATGGGAGGGTAGGGAGCGGGGTAGCCTCCCTGGTAGCCAACACCTCCGCGCCCGCTGTAGCCCATGCCAGAGGTCGCCATCATAGCCATCGGGTGTAGCCCGGGGAACATCATACTCTGGGGTGCCATCGCCTGTGAACCAACAATACATTTACTAACATCAACTGGTGCAAGTAATAAACAAATAATAAATTTACCAAAACTCATTTTGCATCTAATAGCTGTAGTAAGGTAAAAATTGGCTCTTTCATGCTGTTTTTCTATAATCTGGGGTGTACTGTCAAGTCATCCAGGATCAATGTGATCTCACCATTCTCGATTGTCAATAGGGAAGGATGGACATTGAGCAGCTATAGATCAAACAATCAAGGATCTCCTGTAGTGACAATGATGAGATATGAAATAAACTAACCATATAACGTTTCTGGCTTAAAATATAAGTACAGTAGAGCTCTAATCATCCAGATAAACCGGGACCTAACTATACTTATGATTGAAAATCCAGGTAGTTGGATGCACTAGCAACACATCCTATGAGAGAGTGGCACTAGACAAATGACTCATCTGCCGATCAATACAACACTACAATAGACTTATCATGTGATTAACAACACAATTGGCACTCAATAAAATATGAAACGAATTGCCGCAACTGCAACAACAGGGTTGCCACCAAAGTGAGATAAAAAAATTCATGCATAATTCAAGGTTTTCATTGGTAGTTTTGAAAAATTCATGGGGTATATGCTCGCACAATTTCACCATAAAAGAGTGTTGCCTAGTTCAGAATTGTACATTAATTTATCTACAATATATAGTTTTGTGTGCTACTATCAAATAAAACACATTTCATGCGTTTATTTTAGAGTTAAAAATAAGAATTTAATATAATTTATCCAGTCTAAAAAAAGTAAAATCGCAGATGAAAAAGGATATTAATAAAAATCTTGTGTGTGATAATACGATGTAATTATTTAAAAAATTGAAACATCTGATTTAACAACATCATAGGCCTAATGATAAATTCAAACGTTAGAAGAAATAATAAATAAAAAAATAAGTCGGATTGGTAGTTAGGTCTAGGCCTAACCTAAAAAACATTGCATCTAAACATAAAAGGTTTAACTTAGTTAAGTTAATCCAGCAATGGCCTACAACTTTACTGTCTAAACATCAAATTAAGATAATAGGCTACTATAAAAAGAAATGTTAAGAACATGATCAAGAAACGGTTATCTTAGTAATGGGCCATATCTAGGCCTACTAAAACGCACATGCAATTTATTACTTTATACAGTAACACAGTAGGCTAGCCTACAACATTGTAATCCAAAGCTGAATCTAGGCTAAGTTAGGCCTGAACCAACTTTTATTTATTGAGAAGATTAAAGGTTACTGACTGACTGATAATAACACTCTAAAAAGGTAAGATTATGTAAATAAATATTTAGTTAAAGCTAAGAACGAAACAAAAGTTATGGAATGTATGTAAGTTTAGACATAGGCTAACTTACATTAAGTAATAAAAAAATAATTAATTACATTACAGAAAAGGTTAAAATAAACTTAGTTAGGAGGATGTTTCTTCAGATTGGATCAGTTTATATATTATTATTTGCCTACACAGGTTTAAATCACAGTTAAAACAATTATTTAATTAAATTTACATCTCATTAGTTAGATTCGTATTGACTGAAAACACCTAGTTAATGCTTCAACAAAACATTTACATTTACCTTCCTCAGAACGAAATCACCATTTTTCAGCACAACATTGACTTCTTGCAACTTAGGCCCAAAAAAATAAACTTAATCTCACGTTGTAACACATTTACTAAACACTGACAGTAGTTTGAAATGACGACATATTTGACCAAAACAAACACAGCAGACGATTAAGTTCCAGCCGGCGCAAGCCATTTTGACCTTTATGGCAAGGCAAGGTACTTCTTATTTTAACGTTGTAAAGTATCGGAAGTATAATATATCAATAATAAAAAATATTTAATTTGAACACTTGTTCCACTGAGTGTTGGGTAATCAATTATAAGAAGCACAAAACGGAATCACGAGTGCAACAAGTGATCACTGTCCAGTGTCCACCACTACTTCAAACGTTTGACTCGTTTCTAAGTTTCAGATCACTCAGATCAGTTTAAAACTTTTAGGTTATGGTTACTCTGAATTTCCTTCCACACGAACACTAGAGTAGCAGTAGAGAGTAGAGAATGAGAGCGAGCATCAATCCCGATTGTCGATGTTTTCGAAACATCGATGTCTTTTCTATCGACGTTCGAAGTTATTTGTTTACATCGATGGTAGATTACCGAACCGATGATTTGATTTGTTACATCGGTCTTTTAGGCCAACAAAAGTAATGAAATATTGATGTTTTCCGTAACTGAATTGTATTGGTTTTAGGTTAATTGGCTGTTACAGTGCAGAGAACAGACGAGAAACTCGGAACAAACATCGATGTGATCGATGTTTTAGCTCCGAAAGCATCGATTTTATCGGTAGATCGGTACTCGGTAGAGATGGGCGTTATAACATAACAGGATGAATAACACGGCAACGGCAACGTTATCGCGGCAACCCGTTGCGGAGAACTCCCTGTTATTATAATAACGTATCTATCTACACAATGTTGCAGGAAAGCCGCGCGGACAACGAAAACGAAAACATGCATTGCCATTAGTGCCGTTGCCGCAACGCTACCAGAGCAACGATAACTTCTGAAACGAACTAGAATAACGCATCCTGTCTGGACAACGCGGTAACGCCCGACTCCCGACTACAACTGAAAACTGAACTGATCAACCGAGAACCGACAATGATAACTGAACGCCGCAACACCGACCGGCGGACAACGGTTTATAGCGGCAACGAGTGAGTTGGCAATCGTTATTGAAATAACAGGTTGCCGCAACACGTTATTGGGCAGTGCGTTATCGTTATAACCGTTGCCGGAAAACAACGATAATTCCCATCTCTAGACTACTCGGCAGACGTCGGTTACGATCGGATTTGACCTTGAATAAACTACGCAATCGTTTCTGTTCGTGGCATGGCAACAAAACTTTTTATCTCGACACTCCCACTTTGACGTTTTATCTCGGTGTTCATTTCGAGAATGGTTTTAATACGGAGTATTTGATTCAGCACATTTAGGGGTTTTGGCTGAATTGTTAATAATGATTTTGAGAATTCATGGTCCAATGACGAAATTCACGCATAATTCACGCACTTTTTCATGGTCCCCTAAATTCACGCATAATTCACGCTTTTCAAGGTTTTCATGGCTGGTGGCAACCCTGAACAAGCTAAATGTTTCTGCCTGTTTTTTTTTTTAAGATGAACTGGATAGTTGACATTCTGAATGATTGGAGTTGTACTGTAGGCCTAGTTTACAGTTTACTGGTGCATTTCTCAAGTTGTTTGGGTTTAACACTATATGGTGCAGCTACACCTACACAACAACAAAGTACTGTACAGAAGAAACTGGCCTTGTCAGTTACCTGAAGATCGTTCTCGTAGCTCTGTCTCAGCTTGGCGCTGATCATACTCTCAGCTCTCGACATGTTGTCTATGGTCCCCTTCACTGTGATGATCCTCTCCAGGTTGAAGCTGTTGATGTCGTTGATACTGCAACAATGTAACATTACCACAATGGCTAAACAGTTGGGCAACGTATTAACCACTTCCAAGCTATCAAATTTTAAAAACAACGCCAATGTCAAAACAATCGCACAGTACAGACCTAACCTGTAACTCTGGCTTAGCCAGTAAGATGTTAAAACATTTTAATCTGCTAGTGTCTACACCAGAATCTAAGAGCGCTGTTGCCGCTGTGAATCTTCGTAACCCTTGTGTATATCTTGTGTTGATCAGGTGTTGACAATGATGGAGTGACATGTACAACTACCACTACCAACACCACGATTGGCCTAGCCTGCCAGCCAGAGACAATTTTAGGAGCGCTCTTAGATTTTGGTGTAGACACAGATTCAACAGATTCAAACAATGTTTTCATTAACTGAGTCAGAGTTCTGGTTTAGGTTTTTTATTCTGTGGTTGAGAACAGAACATAAATTAATAGTAGTAAAATCACTATATAACATGCTTTGTTGCAAACTATGAAAATGTATCACTAGAAAACGCTCTTAGAATTCACACCAGTCCCTAAATGGAATTGAACATTTTATAAACCTTTCATGGGTTTCCTAAGATCACTGATTTCAGGATTAAAATGTAATTTCAATGTCATAAATTAAAAGTAGGACTTTAAACAAAAAATATTGCATAGTCTGATACAGATATATCTGGCACATGGTATATCAGTGATCTTTATAGATCCAAAACTATAGACATAGACATATTTTATTCATAAACTAAGTACAAATTATACATATGGAGTAGTCTTCTAAGCTTTTAAAACAAAACAAAAAAAATTAGTTGTCTATTTTATTCTTTTAAAAAAATTAACAAATAAGAGATCAGGCAGACAGGAATTCTTCGATACTATAAAACTCGCCCTCCACCAAATAATTGTTCAGCTCTTTCCCAAAACCTTTAGAACCCAACCATGCAATGCACTGCTTTACTTCTTCAGGAAGCTTATTATAGAAGAAGGGCCCCAAAAAATTTGCATTCCTTTCAGAGAGGGTCACATGATGACATGGAGTACGAAGATTTCCTCCATGCCTAGTGGCATATATATGACATTGACCAACCGATGGAATATCCTTCAGATGATTTACTACAGAGATTATTGCTCTGTAGACGAATATAGAAGACCAAGTTGAAATGTTGTTCCCCGGGAAGACTCCTCTGCATGAATGGAGTGGTGGTAAGCCATTGAGGATACGCACTGCCCTTTTAGCGAATTTCCCTATAGGGAAGTAGCTATTACCGTAGGTCTCATGGTAATTTAGTACGGCAAAGACCTTAGCAGCATGGAAATAACCACCCCAGACTTCAATACCATAAGTCATGACTGAGAAAAAACAACCATAGTAGACTGCAACTAACATTTTCCAGTTAAGAAGAGGTTGCAGCGCCCTAAGTGAATGGCACATGCAGTTCAACTTGCCACAAAGCTGTTATACATGATTGGACCATGAAAACATTTTATCCACAGTTATACCTGAAAATTTTTCAACAGAGCACTCTTCTATCTCAAACTTATTCAACGAGACGGATTCAGGGTCTTATTGAGAGTTAGGAATTGCATGAAAACATACTTATCCGAGTTCAGTCTAAGATTGTTCAGTGATAAACAACTTATAAGCGAACTAATTGACTCTTCAACTCGAGATGTTTCAAGAAGGGATTGCAAATTGGTACATGGACCTCCAAACAGTAAGATTGTGTCAAACGCAATATTGATTTAGCTAAATGAAGATGTGCTGATAGATCATTAATATACACAATAAAAAGCAATGGTCCGAGAATACTACCCTGAGGACCCCCGAACTTTCATTCAGCGAGATCCGACCGAATTCCTGAAATCTTAACAAATTTCATTCTATTTGAAAGATATGATCGGAACCAAGCTTGGTTTGGTTTATCCAGCCAAATCGTTATCCGGCCAGGGACTTGGTCCTGTGGTGGCCGGATATGAGGGTTTCTACTGTATTCAAAAAGAAAGATGCACTAATTTGATTCTTACCTAGATACTGTTATTTTTGTGTCGGTGTCTTGCATAATGCGTTTGATTGTGTTGCCGCCTTTTCCAATAATTCTACCAATAAGGTTATTGTGGGCTAAAATCTTCAATGTAATTTCTCTGAAAACAAAAAAGACAAAATTTATTTATTTATTCATTGCTTTTGACAATTATTACATTGTGTAGCATAGATATTCTAATATTTACAGTACCATACATTACATAGAAGTGTTAAACATATGACAATGTATATAGTTATATCAGTATCTCTATAGATATATATATACTATATACTACTTGGTATAGTATATAAACTACATATATATACTACATATACTATATCAGTTACATATAAGTATATTTAGTTTATTTTCTAAGGACTACCGAAATAAAACAATAGTTAAGGTATGAAAGTAAGGAGAAAGAAGAGCTAGACCAGGAATCAATTTAACTCTAGATCAAGAAGCGTAACCTAATAATATTCAAGTAAAAACAAGAGGCAACACAGCAGTAGCTAAACTATCTCTTTGAACAAATCTTACACCTTTGTTTTAGATGGCTAACTGAAATCACTCTCCAATAACACACATAATCCGTATTTATTATTTGATTTGAAACTCGCTTCTTCACAACATGGCATTTAGCACTGTTTAGTCATATGGATGTTATTTCTGTATTCCATTATTGTTTTGGCCTATTGGGCCAAAACTTCTGAGCATGCGAACGGTTCGCTACTAGCCGCACTAAAAACATATGGGTACCGGTTATTGGCAGTGCTGGGAGTAAGAGTGAGTGATTCACAATGAGTAGCAAGTCAAGGATGTTTTCACAAAAGAAACCAGGTCAATCCTCTCGCCAAGATCCGACCATTTCTGATCGCGCACAGAAGTTTTGGCCAACCTGTGCAGTTTATTAATTTACCATACATGATGCATGGTTTAGATGTTATTTATTTGTATTAACATCTTAAGGTTCATATTTTCCCTCTCAAGATGCTCGAACGAGGACCAGTTAATTATAATGATTCGACAGCAAGGAAGAACGGAGCCTTGTGTAGATTTACGATTGATAAGAAATACATACCCTTTATTCGTATTCGTTGCTTCTTGCTGCATAACCTCCAGGATCTTCTTGCAGGCATTTGTACAATTGTCAGGATTACCGTAGATAGTAATAGCTTTCTCTAATGAGCCTACGTTGTCTTTCCTATGAACGTCCACTCTGAAACAAGAAATTCAACACTATAGCGCACAAAGCAAACATTTCAGAGATTTATGTGAATACGTTTGTACACAACACCTATGATTTGTTTTTTTTTTCTGAATAGATCTATCTATATGTGTGCATTTAAAAATTTTCAACAGAAAAAACTTGGATAGGAAATTTATTTCATCATCTGTTTGAATTTCTTGTCATGATTCTCTCCAGCATTCGATTGCTATGAAGCCAACGTAAATAGTATCTTAGATAATCTAAACAAATCTATGAAGTTGGCGTAGCATTGTCATGTTTGGGTAGTGGCAGTTTTAGTTTTAAAAAGAAGTTATCCTCCTATTAAGCGAGTTGCTATTGAAAATCGCTTGCTGTCTGACACAAACCTTTTTCCAATTATGCCTGAATAAATTAAGATTTAAAAAAAATAATTTTTATGAAAAATTTATATAGGCTAGAATTTATAGACTTTTCCTGGTCCTCAAAATTCACATTTTCTCCAAATCGGCTGGAAAGCCTGGTAGTATTTAACAACCCATAGCTTTGTTATTTTAAAGTACAGTAACCTTTCTCTTCTGCAACAGGTGATTCAAATTAGCCAGATGTTCTTATTAGGGGGCTCTAGTAGAAGTACATGGTGTATAAAAGTATGTCAATAGCACATTCTGTTCAATTTTCCTACATCCTCTTTAAATTTTAAACTCGCTAGTCCATGTAACTAATAACATACCTTGCTCTTGTTTGCTGGGTAATCTGTCGGATGGTAGTTCCCTGGCGACCAATGATGGCCCCGACCATGTCACTCTGCACCAGTATCCTGAGAGGGAAGTCCGTCGGTCTGCCCCCGCCCCCCGCCATGCCAGGGTAGCCACCCGGGGGCCCTCGTGGCCGTGGTCCTCCTCTCCCCCGCCGCTCCATCGCCAACTCCACCTTCAGATTGCTTCCCTCAAACTGACATCCGTTCAACTCGCTGACAGCTCTGCAACAATACAGAATTCTTGCTTGGATCTCGTAGTACGGGTACAATTGTTAAAACACCGATATACCTCCTACTTTTAAAACTAGTAGGGTAGGTGTCAATTAATATGGAATATTGGGAGATATAGGCCTACCATGAAATCACGTAGTATAGTCCTCGCCACCCCAAGTTGAGGCAGCCCAAGGCCGCACGGCTGCTTGTATCTAGTGCAGCCTTTGGCTGCCTCAACTTAGGGTGGCGAGGACTATAGCTACGAGTACAGTAGTATTATTACTGTGCACCTTAGCAGGTAAATGGGTACCTTTTTTGAGAGGTTTTATACGAATCTCTGATAATCGTTCCAATGGAAATAATTGTTCACAATTATATTCCGATTATTCAAACGCTTTCCTCATCCAACCTTGCCGCTGTTGATTTAGGTCGGATAATCAAGAGCCTACTGTTTGTATTTAGCCTATTAATAATTTGTTATATTACTTGATGGAAATTATTACCAGCAAGAAACATATCTGATTTCTCTAGATCTTGTTAGAAAAAATTCACTAACAATGATTATAAGTGCATTTCATGGACTATCTATTTTGCTACTGATTAGCAAACAGAAAAACTAATCTAACCGTTGAGCTTTTTATTTAATTTTTAATATAATTTTAAATAGATTTCATGCTAAAGGTAGTCTGAGAACAAGGACCCCTCTAAACAACCATATTTTTCAACAAAATCTACTTCAGTCCAATAAGTTTGTTCCAAAAATAATTTTCTTGAAATTCCGAGCATCTTAGGATGTACAGTATACACATATAGTTCAAAAATCTGATCAATTACTAATCGATCACTACAATTATTTTAATTAATTGTAAAAAAATATTTTTCGCATACACACAAATTAAAAATAAATTACACTAGGGAACCTGTGCACGAACTGCACATTCTAATAGGGTTAAGACAGTATCTTGAACTTAACTGATGCATACAATCAATATCTCAAATAAAAGCCTTTATTTTAAAGAGTAATTAAGACAAGACATATAAAATAACTATAGTGTTAGCAAAACGGGAGTGCAGATGGAGACCTGTGGGGGTGCGTGCGTTTGTAGGGACTTGACCTGGTCTCCATCGGCACTCCCGTTTTGCAAACACTGTAAAATAAGAATGGAGATACACATCATTGATTGCAGATCAGTCCTAAACTCATTATAATTATGGTTGATTAGTGATTCAGCAGCGTGCTTCAGGTTCATCATTCAATAGCTCACATTTCGCTCAAAGTTCTTAGACCAAAACATAAAGGATAATGTGGACCTTTTCCGTTACTTCACTACCACAGATTAGTATATTAGGTTAGGTTAGGACCTTTTCTGTTAACATAGACCTAACCTAACCTAATATACTAATTAATTATTTGTAGTGAAAGGTTCGATGATGTAATTAGAACTGGTGCATCTTTAATTGAAGTAAGAATTTGAATAAAATCACTCATCCTACACTCATCCTTCACACATATTTGGGTTAAAATACGCACATAGTGGCGTCCCCATCTTAAATAATTGATAATTGATTGATAATTGATAATCTAATTTGTTTTTGGTCGTCTAATACAGTAGATAAGCTAATGATGATGCTTGATAGAAAATCTGAGAATATATGCGATTAATTTAAGACTAAAATCATCAAAATCAGTCAGGTAGAAGAGCCAAACAAATTCAGAAAAGAAAAACCAAATTTAACCTTCATGAGAAGTGTACAGGGAGAAAGTAGCTTTCGTGCCTAACGCAAAATATAAGTCAGATATACGAATGCCGATTCTTGGTGGCAAATCTGTATTTGCAAACCTTTAAATTTAGACAAAAAATTATGAAAATGGGTCAGGTGGAAGAGCCAAACCGACTAGGAAAAGAAAAACCTATACATATTTTATAATAGATTAGAAAATGTTTCAAAATTGTATATAGCCTATACGCATGCATTTAAATCTCAGCATTACTCTGTGGAGCTATATTTTAAATATCTTATACTAATTGAAAAGTGGACTTACTGTTGTGCTTGTTCCTGAGTTTCATAGCTAATCTGGACGACTTGTGGCTGACCTTCTCTTGAATTTAGTTTTTCACACTTTTGAATATTTCCATACGGTATTAACAGATGTTCTAAATCTTCGAATCTCACATGTGGAGGCAAATTACTAACAACGATTTTTGAGTTTGAACTGAAACAGAAAAAAAACTTTCAATTAGATTGTGAATTATCAGGTATTACAAGGTTCTCAGGATTTTAATTCAAAACTACATAATAATAAATATAAGCTACATTAAGTAAATCCAAATGGTTATATATATATATTGTTTTTATTGGCTAGAATTTTAAGATAAAGTGTCTCAGAACTTCTTGTTATGGAGAGGCAATATTTATTTTCAATGAACTGAACAAATTCCACGAGGTTTCAAGTTTCCTGAACAATCAAAATGAACCGAAGATAAACAAAATTTTAACAAGTACAGTGAAATTCAAATTTATTTTTAAATTCCATTAAGGGTTATGACTTAAAATATTTTTCTAGGTTATGTTACCTAGGACAAATAAAAGCAGTTAAAATTAAAATGAACAGATTTTTGTGATTTTGAGAAATCTTCACACAAACACATTTAGATTGAGATTACCTCGTAGAATGCATTTTACCAATTTCTATGAAAAATTATACTTTAAAATGAACAATTTAAGTATAGTCTTGGTTGGCTAGACTGTGGCTAGGTGCACCGGAGACTAAGGTGAATCAGCAGAACAATGCATTGCAGTAGCTACCTCAGCACCTCGCTATGTCTACGGTTACTGCCGAGTCAAGAGACATCGGATTACCTTCCGGCACCCGGCAACTCTACAGCCACATTCACAATACTTTGTGGAACATGCGTACCAACACACCACTACGTAGCCTACGACTAAACAGTATAATACTAGTCAGGTATTAGTGTGTAACCCGAGATAAAACTTTAAGTCAGGTTAAATTCTTCACTTAATATCCAGCTAAAAATTAAGTACGTGAGCTCTTAGGCCCATTTGTTCAAATTTAGTACTTCAGATTTACTTATTTAAAGCAATACCATTAGTGTGGATCCGTTTGTTGAATATTGAACACACATAAATAGTCGAAATAAAACGCAAAACATTTTATATGTGAGTAAATTATAATTCGTCATTAACTTCTTTGAGGATATAGCTAGTTTAAAAAACATAATCTTGTAGTGCAATTCCCGGTTCAAACAGCCGTGGCACCTGAGGGATTAGGAGACCCCATGGAAACCCTTGGAGTCTCCTAATCCCTCAGGTGCCACGGCTGTTTGAACCGGGTATAAGTATGAAAGAATAAGGGATAAAGGGTACAAAACAGTTAAAACGCAGAATTAAATGCAGTGTTTTGTTTGGAAAACCAAATTTTAGAATAAATTAACAATTTTATTAATAAGACCTTTCCAAAACACTTAAGCCATAGTAATCAAACATCTAGGTATATTTAGATAACCACCACCACTACGTAAAAATAACTCCGTTAAAAAAGTAAAATGTACAAAAACAGATTAATGAAGGATTGATCTACACAATAATATTATAAGATAGTATTTAGTACCGGTATCGATTTATTCTTTTTTTAAATATATTTCATGTTAGGGGTAAGTCAAATTTTAAATTATACTGTCGGCGAGGTGAAAAAATGTTATCTTCAGTTGAGAACAATATTTGAATGAATTTTTACTGGACAGATATATCTGTAAGACATGGGCATGAGCCTTTTTTCAATTTAATGTTGTTTTAAAACTAATTAAACATCCTGTTGTCAAATGTAATTTTAATGCACATTTGAAACATGTAAGTAAGGAAACCAACATCCACAACACAAATATTCAAAATAATCAAGCGAGAAAGGGTCATATAAATACAAAACCGAGCGGAAATTAGGATGTCTTTTTTTTTTTTTTTTTTGAATCAACCGTACGAGCAAGTAAATGTATATTAAGAAATTGATTCATTCTACATAAATATACTCGAGCATATTATTATAACTATAAGCTTATAGTTATACAACATGGTACTTTCGAATGAGTTGGTTTAGGTCAGTCATATCCGTTCAACGTACTATACTCAACTTCCTAACACACATTTAATAATTACTACTGTACGCCAATAACTACTTTAACACAATCGAGCTATCTGTATTGCTACCATGCCAGCTGTAGCACTGGGCGAGTTATTGACAAGCGAGGCAGTGCAGGTTATGAAAAATCTAAATGTTAACAAATTTCAAGTCTGCAACAGCTTGGAGAGTTAAATAGATAAAATTTGTAAATGGGGTACAGACCTGCGATTAATGAAAGTTTGCAAACTTCTCTGCACCCTAAAAAGAAAATCTCCCGTCAGTGATATTTGAGGGACAATGAGGTAAACCATGCATAACTAAAGAAACAAGATATTTATAATATGGTTATGACATACAGATTATTGTATAGTTATTGCTGGACAGACTAAGTAATTTTTTGTTTCATTGACAAACATTTGAGTGCCTTAATGAAAGGGCCTTGACCTTAATACAATCTCTGAATTTGAACACCAAACTCATTTTTCTGGACCTTTCACACAATCTGTAAAAGTTAACCATACAGCTTAGTTATCAATACACAGTAGCAAATTGTGTGTGTAGAATATCCTTCATTCTATGACTACATACTTTAGTTAGTGTACATTTTACCTGGAGTGTAATATAACGTTTCTGATTAAAAATGTCATTTAGTAGATTGGGTGGATTTCAACGGCGTCAACAAGAAATACAGGTTCTTTTCCGTTAATTCACTACCGGTACCACTACTTTTTAATTGTGCAATTCCGATATTTTTAACTTACCCTAGTCTATATATATATATTATAAAATGAAACTGTTCTTAAATAACCTAACCAACCAAACTTGCTGATTATGAAAACAATTCTTGTAGTGAATAAAGGGAATCAGAATTTAAAAAAAAAGTAATGGTAATGGTTTATTAACCATTAGTAGTTTTCAGTCATTAACGGAAAATTACCGAAATATTTCACATTAAACAAGTTTTTAAAAGTCAATAGTTACAAAAACATTAAAAAAACACTTTTACAGTAGATACTTTTAACGTAGAGCACACTACAGAGGTTATTAGACAAAAAGGATGAAGATTAGAGTATGTAAGAATGGAGTCTCATTTTCAGATCAATGAAGCACAGTTGTATTCAATGCTAAACCAACAATAAGTCATTTTTCAAGTTTATTTCACACTGCAGAGGCCTATCATTATCAGCAGTTTAGTGATATATTGACTGTTAGGCGCCTGTTATCACTATCTCTCACTAGTGATAAGTCTGGCTGTACCATCTACCCAGCTTGGTCATACCACATGTAACTTTTTTGTTCCGTTAGAAAATTATCTTTGATAGTTTTGATGCTTCATAAACCGCATCAATAATGTCAGGACAAACAAAAAACAGATAGATCAGGACAGCGTCTAAGGTCAAAAATATCAAAATACGTACTGTCACAAAATTGAAATCTTTTGAGAGAGACTTGTGAATTTAAACATTCCAGACGAATCTCTCAGTCAAGACCATTTACAGCAAAAATGTAATTCCACAAAACTGTCACGTCGACAGAAATTGCTACAATAAAACAGATTTCATCGGCGTATTACACAACTTCACCTGACTAAGAAAGGTATAAAGGATTGCATTGAAATAAAGGCTTTCCTATAGTAGGTAATCATATTCTACCAGAAAGTCCATTTTTAAACTCTTACACAATACACGCTGCTAAACTGAGGAATTCACAACTGAACAAACGTGGGGTCTGTTAATTCATTATGCAGTGTAGCGCCATCGAACACTGACGCGGACAGTAGCGGTCCCTACTAGAGTCTAGACATCATTAAAACTGTTTTAAAAATAGTGCTGGCCGGCGCCCCAAGCGCTGCACCGATGCACTTTTTACATTTCCGCCTCAGGTTCAAAGAACTCTGGTTTTATTGCACGCCACCAGCCCCCCCTCCTACTACGCGGCGCGTATTGACTTATTTATCAACGGGAAGTGATAAGCGATCCACTGCCGGCGCTGGTTGAGAACTACGACTCCACGAGTAGGAAATGCATCTTGACATAACAGAACAGGGAACAGAAAATTTGTCAATTACTTCAATTATGACTATCCATGACCTTTTACCACTAATTTCCATGACTCACGAATTAAATCGAAAATTATAATATAACATACAAACACTAATAATACTACCTAGACAATTATTTAACAGAAAATACTGAAATATGTATTAACAGATATCAATGGGGTAATACATTTTGCAAAAATATGGTATTCAAAATAAGGAAGAAAAAAACCAAGCCTACTTTGTCCCTATAGCCACAGAAAACATACTACCCTACTATATGTTTTCTGTGCTATAAGCTGGCCAAGTCCTCTCTCTACTTTATTTTTTTTTCTTTCCTATATACTTTTATAGTATATATGAACGATTTCCATGACTATCCCTGACTTTACAGAGCGGGGACACCCTGCGTAATATGTGATTATTTTGTCTTCGGCGCGGTGATTAAAACCCCTATCAAGATTAATTTGATTACAATCACAACTTTCGCGATACTTGAAGAGAGCTATTGCAATAAAAAAATTGAGAACATTGGTTTTAGTTATATTACAACTATATTATACGCTGTAGGCCTAATAACTCGAGAACAGAAAATCACACAATTTACCACAACTTCGCAAATTGGGAACACTAATTTGTTACGTCATGCTCAAGAATGGAGCGTTTCCACGTTGAAAAAATTGCCCCTTGGGTGGTAAGAGCCTTATTAAATTACTTGCTACATCCTTGGAAAATATTCTAAAAAGGGTTTATAGCACATTTCTATAATTTGTTTGATGAAACTCGGGCATTCAAAATCTGCGTGAGCAAACAAATTGCATCAACGAGACATCGTTAATTTATTGTTCCTTAATTATAACTCGAAACTAAAAAAGAGTACTTTTTCAGTATAACAATATTTTTTCAGCTAAACAAAATGTAGACAGTCCATCTAAAAAAATATTTAATACAAACATTTTTGGCTTAGGCCTAATTATCGGTTTACCCTATCAACCCAATTTGTTGCAAAAGATGTCAGCACATCTTTGTCAGCACAAACATGTCAGCACTAGTATGTTTTCTGTGGCACTACGTCGATAATACCGTCTCAGCTCCCAAAAACCACTAAGGCCCCGGGTACGATACGAGCGGCGAGCGGCATGAGCGGCGAGCGGTGAGCGGCATGAGCGGCGAGCGGCATGAGCGGCGAGCGGTGAGCGGTGAGCGGTGAGCGGCGAGTGGCGCCGCTCATGATTCCAAGTCAAAACCGATTTTCGCGGAAACGCCGCTCGCCGCTCAGGTGAGTCATGCTTCAGTTCGGCCTAAAATGACAGGGAAACAGCAGCAAACATGCGATACGGGTCGATACGTGAGGTGCAGTTCAGGGAATGTTTGTGGAATGACCATCACGGATGTTTTAAAACACTTCAGTCACCAGAAAATTATGGGAAAAAATTAGGGTTAAGGTTTTTCTAAAAACTAAGTTTTTCTTTAAAGGCGAACAATTGTCAGGTAGCAACAAAAGTTGCAATACGTCTTGCAGGTAAGCATAGTTTACCATTTTATACTAAACTGACTCATAAAACTGGGGAAATTTTATGAGCGTTATAAATGTGCCGCTTGTATCGTAGCCACCCCCGCCGCTTAGGCCCCGTTTATGCACCAAGAGCGGGAGCGGGGCGATAGCGGGCCGGCTCCCGCGGTGAATGGGTCTGTTTATGCACGAAGAGCGATAGCGGTAGCGGTTGGTTAAAGGAGAATGGAAGGGGGATACAGTCTTGCCAACTCAAACTCTGCCAAATAATTAACTCAACTATTTGTCCTAAGTGCACGTGCGCGTGGGTCAAGTTGGCAACCCTGGCTGCAACCGCTCCCGCTCCCGCCGTGCATAAACAGTCCCATTTGACTCAATGTAGTTGAAAACCGCTCTATTCCAGGCAACCGCTGCGATTTCTAACTACACAGCGGGCGAATTAGAAACGGGAGGTCAACCGCTATCGCTATCGCTCTTGGTGCATAAACAGCCCCATTTAACTCAATGGTGTTAGAAATCGCTCCCGCTGTCGCTACCGCTACCGCACTTGGTGCATAAACGGGGCCTTACGTGCCGCTCAGGTTGCCGCTCGCCGCTCGTATCGTACCCGAGGCCTAAAAAGCTATTTTTCACATTTTTATTTCTTAATAATCGTACAGTATTGATACTATCTACGTATCTACGACTAGTTGCATGTATGCAGTTACAGTACTCAGTATTCCCCCACTCTACAGGTTGTGTGTGTGTGTGTGCGTGGGAGAGGGGGGGGGGGTCGCTGGGCGCGGCGTTGCTAGGGTTTCCTCAACTGAGTGAACAGCAAATGTGGGCCAAGCAGGGTTGGGACGTTAACTCACCCCTCACTTTGTACACGTGGCCTTGCCCCCCACCACCCTCTCACCCTCACAACACAAATTACTTCCCCTCCATGTCGATATGAGCCTCTCGTCTACCTTTACCTTTTCAGCGTCTACCTTCAGTGAAACAGATTTTGATCAGAATTCGGCTACAATTTTATCAGACGGACACAAATACTGTAAGGTGAAAATGATTTTAAACCCATAACAAAACTACATTGTTCTGAACATACTAAAAACGCTCGTGTGAAAAAAAGCTGTATCTGGTTCAATTAATTAATGCTGTTGGACAACTAACTATTATCTCAAACTAAAGAAGTTGGACTAGCTGTAACTAATGTTTATTACAAGAAGAACATAGTTGAAATTATATATTCTATCTAGGTTTTCTTTACTGAGAATGTTGGCATTTGGCGTACATGAAATAGCCCTTTCAGCCTTGGATAAAGGATTCATTGGGTTTGACCTGTCGTTTGGCAAAGTTCAAATATACATTCATTTCCATCTTGAAACTGTTTACAACCTTAACCTTAATGGAATTTCCAGTTTAATAACATGTCAAAAGCAGTAGATAAGGCGAGGCAAAAATGTTTATCTTCTCTTAATATTAATCAAAGCCCCCATTCACAAACCACCAACCCCAAAATTTTATATTGATGTTCGTTTGTCCATAACGCCACAAAGGTTTTAGTCGGCGATTCATCGATTCACAAAACGCGGAACCAACTAACACAAAAACCAAACTGGTTTATTTGTCAATAAAAGGCCTTATTATTAATCTTTTCACTTCCGGGGTCCGGTGTAAGGGTGGTAAGGGTGAGGGGAGAGATGGGGACAAACCCTTGCACTACAATGTTACAAGTAACTATCACAAGACACGCGCGGCAAGACCATTGTAACTCCACGTGGGTCACAGGGTAGTGAGAATACAAATATTACAAAGGTTGTCGAAAGAGGTAAAGTAGTGATAATCAAACTTCAATTTATCGTTACACTCATCGCGTTAATTGCCAAATACCGTGAGGATTAAGTTCACAACCTTTATAGCAGACCAAAATGAACAATATTGAAATAACATTCAAGGGTGTGTTTTAATAGCAGCAATGACCATAAAAATTATATTTCAATTAAATGTTAAATGAAATAGTGCAAATAATGGCTTTTAAATCAGCTAAGCAGCAAGGGCCATAAAAATGACATTACAATTTTAATGTTTCATTCAGAAAGTTAATTATTAGACACATAAAAGTACAAGCTACATAAAAGTGCAAAGTGTGAGTATTATGGCTGCCAGAGATGTCAGTTTATGAGTACAGCATGTAAGGTTGCAATTGTCTTAGTGATCAAATTAGATCACAGTGAATAAAATATTAGGTTCTTTAACAGAGAAAAGCCTTTTGGTACTAGCAGCAAGGGCCATAAAAAGGTGGGACTTTTTACATTAAATTCTGTATTCCATATAATGTTTTGGAACAAAATTATCACAAATAACAAAATAAACAACATTCAACAATCATTAAACTCAACAATTCTTTCAAATTGCCTACTTCAACATCTCACTGAGTGGATTCGGTTTATACTGAGATTAATTAAAGAATCATTAAATTAATTAATTAAAGAATTAATTAAAGAATCATACATGGGAAGCGTTTGGCTGGTTTGGCTGATTCAAAAAGTACTGTATTTATATTCCTGCTTTTTAAGACCCAAAAGGGACACAACGAACCCATAAAAATAGAATTAAGGGTGGAAAAATTTAAACCTTGATGTCTTATGTAGTTGGGATATAATAATTTCATAATATTTATAGCTCTGTTATTTGGCTTGTTCAGTTGATGATTTTTGATGATATACTACCTAAGTTACAACAGTATTAGTGGTTATTCCAAATGTTTGTAAAAGAAACATTCAAAATCCCAGGCCTCATTACAAACTAGCTACCTTTAATTAAAGAATAATTAGCCCAACAAACCTTGAGAAACATTTTTTATCTAGTTCAACGAACTGTAATTTTATTGGTCCATTTTTTCATAAAAAAACTTGTCTCTATCCAACAGAATACAACAATTTATGCCATTTTAAGAAATGCATTTGAACAAGAGCGAGTTCAAAGATTTTATCCTATAGAACTTAGATTCTCCTTTATTAACAAAAACCTATACACCAAAATGAATGTTTTAGTAAATTCCCTAATGACAATATAGTTCTTTTATTCAATAAAACCTATGTATCATAAATAGTTCTGAAACAATAACAAATACAGCTTTCGAACATAAGTAAAACTAAGACTAAGAAAACATCTTTTTTATCCATGCAACATTTAGTTAATGAGATCCCAGAGATTTCTAAAACTACAGAGCCCTACTTAAAAATTACATTCGATGATAGAACCTCTATTCCACATTCTTTGCAGTTATGGGTTTTATGGTTACCATCCTGCTACAAACATAATTGGAATCATTCATGCTTAATATCTTCATCATCATGGGTTGCACTAACTGTTCTGGGGAGCCTCGTGAAAGCTCCAAAGACATTTTACTGGGTTTTCGATATTTACACATTTAGAAATTCATATTATGACTGAAGGAGGCATTCTTTGTTAACTAAACATTTATAAACAATTTACTGCTATTTCAATTTGTTATAAGACCTGTAATGGTTTGTCTATTTTTTTCTATTCGATGGGTTTCGATAGGTTTAAGATAGTCCATGTTTTTAGTTCGCTTAAAAACCTTTTACCAACTCAGCACCCTGTGCAGGCCGGGCCTACTTCTTGCACAGCCATCAGGCTATACTGTTTCAGATTAATAAAATTTAAATGTTGGTTATAAAAAGTAACGTTAATTAAGAACCAGCAAACGTTTTAAACTAAATTAGTTTAAAAGTTTTTAACTACTGTAACTTACTTTAAACTAAATACACTGATAGCTAGTAACAACTCATTATTGGGTGAGGCTGTGAAATAACAAGCAGCAATGTTGTTCACAAATTTATCAATAAGATCAATCAAATTTAAAAAAAATTGATGTTAAACAAGCAGACTACCAGCAAATCCTACCGAATAGACTGCTGTCGAGTAACAATCAATGTTAACAAGTTTTAGGCTTGGCACTTCATTGTTTGACATGGTGTAACAATACACTGTTTCCAATCCAACAATCGTCAGTATGTGGGATCCTGCCAAAACATTCTCACTAGCGAACAACACTGAGTTTTCAACAGCAAAAGTAAAATAAGGACTCCAAGTTCAAGGCAAAAGAATAACAATAATCATAGGTACTGGAGGTGAAATAAACTCAAGTTGTGAGTTTAAAAACATTTGTCAGTGACGCGGCATGAATTCATCAACGACAATGCAAGATCTACCTTACAACAGTAATATGTTGAAACCAACAATTATTTTCTATACCTTTGTTTATCTCAATATTCTACAATTCAGTAAGCACAATAAATGACTAATGGTATGCCTGATTATAGGATACCATTATAGCTATGAACAAAAAAATATCATAAACCAAAATATTTAATCATCTCAAAATTTAAACATTACCAGTAGACTATTTATGAAAACTAATGTTCTATCAGTGCAATATTTAAGAACAAAATACTATGTCACCCTTCTTTTTCTAATAAAACCTACTTGGACAAATAACTACGACACTAAATAAAAAAAAAAACTACCTTACATAGAAACTCATGCAAGATTTTTGCTTTTTGAGGAAAACATAAACTGTAGGTCATAAATTACAATTATATCGACTCACTTTTTACAATGTAATACATCTATGCAAAATTATTAAAAAGGAACTCTCTTGAAAAGAATGGGTTCGGTCCTTTCTTACGTAGACAACAACTGTACCTACACTGAAAACTTAATTAGTGTTCCTAGTAGGTTTGAACAAAAAATTTGTTTCTATGCACTCAATCCTTACTTGTAACAGCTTACTCCCAGATCAATGTTTATATATCTACCATCCACACCTGTCCATAAAAACTAAGCAACCTTTTAACAAAATATTTAGTCTGAAAGATTAAGTACCTAGAAGGAGGTAACAATTAGCCAAGTCTTCAAGTAAACTTTTCATTTATATCTCATTCCCTTACCCTTCAGTCTTGGTAAGATCTTCTCGTTCAGATCTTCCACGATTTCCAGGGCTAGTGGTAGCAGATTGCCTGGAATCACATTATACTCATTGGATTTTTGGCTCGCTGATTTTGGAAGGGATAAAATAATTTTAACAGGGTCCTGATCTGTCAAAATGTGTGATCTGAGTCTTAAACAAACATATTTGAAAATTTCTGTTGTAGACGAACAACAACATAGTCAAATAATACAACACTACCCTTACTGTAACAAGACTGACCAAAAAGCAGCCTAATATCTTGCAGGACGCAGAAGAAACAAAACTAAGAAAGCCTAAAAATGTAGTTTATTTATAGCTTGTTAAACCGTTTATATTTTGACCATAAGCTCAAGATCCTTCAACCCTAGGTAGGGCCTAATTGCAAAACATAATAAATAGAACCACCCCCCAAATAATATTACCTATCTGACTTTACAAAAAAATTGAAGAAAATAGGAGCAAAACACGGCTGAATTAGATACACCACGGGAATTACTCGACAGAGTGATATCCTACTAACGCACCATAATAATCTGCCTGAGCCTCTTCAGGCAGACAGCCTTTCTCTTCCTCTTTTTAAGTCAAAAATTTATAACTGGCTTGCAGCTAACCCATTCTACTCAGTTAAGGACTTCATGAAATATAAAATTAAAGCGGAATCTTTCATACTATAAATTAAGAATTCTCAATCGTTATTCTCATTCTTTGTTATGGTACCTATAGATATGAACATGTTTAGTAATAATATTTTATTTATGTAATTTGTTAATGCTTATTCCATGTACAACTTGGTCAATGGCAATAAACTTTCTTATTCTTATACAGCCAAATCTACGCATCTGTGGCTGCTAAATCCTAGTCTAAGCTTCGCCTCAGTCTAAGTTGGAGACATTGCTGTTAAGTTATCACTTTGACAATATTATTTTTAATTTCTCTTCAAAAGTTCTTCTCGATTCTGTAAAATTTACGAAACAAGATTCTAAACTTTATAGGCCCAGTTTGGATCTGGTTACCAACGGTGGTTGTAGTATAAATTAGTACGACAAAATACACAGCATATGACTATACTTTTACTGTTAAGATGACGTCAATTTATCTAAAAAATCTAAATAAATTTTCCTAAAAGTTTATCTAGTTCAAATAATGGATATCGCATAGTGCTTAAGTAAGGACTGAGCTAAAGCAATAATTTATATAGCCTATTTTACAGAATTTATTTTATCATAAAGCGTATCATAAAGTGGTACCCACAACCATTTTTCATTATCAATTACTGTACCTCTCGCCTTAGCCTTCCTAGTTATTTAACTCATAAACACAACAGAACCAAAATAAGCTTTTTAAAAAAATAAAAATTCAATGAAAACTTTATATAAAGGATTGCGCCATTTGTAGTCCATTCAGTACTTGGAAATATGTTCCCACCACAATTAACCCTATTTCCCCACCATTGTTGAAGAGGCTGTCAGGGGTACAGTTCCACCTAAAACCTACGCTAACTTATATTGACGGATGCCATTTTAATTCTATATAAATATCGACTTCACAATTTCATTCTATATGGATAATGATTTCCTGTTGTTACGAGTCTCCTCTCCTCAACTTTTAAGAAGAGGGCTGCCACTCTTTTAAAGTGTGCTGGGACATATACATATGTTAGGTTAATTTTTATTAGTTTACCTTCTTATGACAATGACAAACAAAATATCATTTACAAAATGTGGTCTTTTTATATTTAGGTCCTAAACTCATTAAAACTATAAACTAAGTTAAGCCAAACTGAACTTAACTTACCGTACTACTCTAGCCTAACCGCCGCAGAACAGTGTAAAAGACCCATAGAAGTTCATATTCCGTATTCGATACATACGAGAGATTATCTGTGAAAACGATAGATTTAGGCCTAGCGTATTGAACTAATATTTCATGTAATAATATATTGTAGGTTCACTGCCGAAGTGTACCCGCTGTGGGTTCTAGTTCCGCAGAGAATCCACAATACAAAATCAGATAGAATATTATTTTAATATATAGGCCTACCGTACCTTTAAAGTATAATTTGAATCCGATCAATTATTTTTATATGTAGGTAATATATAGGGTTATTAAGAAAGAATGGCGCAAACCATAACGGATGGTACATCTGTTTCCGTGATTTCAAACAGCTGATTGTTTGTTACACAAATGGAAAAGATGTGTTTATAAGTTTTTTTTTGACAAGGTTATGTTTTGTCCCAGTTGGTTAGTTGAGTACCACGAAGCCTGCCCAAATGGGTAACTACAAAATCAAGAAAAGGCTTTTATGTTTTACAATTTGCTTGTACTAATGCTATTGTTGGTGTTCAGTGGAACTTTCAGACCAAATTTAGGAGGGAGGCAGCTGATCAGAACTGCATAGCCTTTTGGAAGAGGAAATTCAAGACCACAAGTTTAAATTATTATAGGCTACTAAGATGTCTGGGTGCCGGGAAGAGTTTGGGCTTACCTAAGTTAAGACCTTGCCAGACGCTGTGGAGAGAATCAAAGCTAAGTTTGATTGAAATCACAAAACCTCGACAATCAAAGCTGCTAGGGTACTTCACATACCGGTACCACAGTCTACGGTTTTACGCAAGTGTTTGAGACGAAACCCGTACAAACTGCAGTTATTACAAGCATTGAAACTTACTGACAATGCAAAACAAATACATTTTAGTCATGATAGCTTCAGTTCTTGTTGATATTCTTCGATTTTGTTGACAGGCTTTGTCTGGTACTCAACCAAGCAAATGACACAAAATATACCTTAAGTAAAAACATACTTATACACACACCCTTTCCAATAAGCTATTTGAAATCACGGAAACAGAAGTACCGTATCGACCGTTTAGTTTTACGCCATTCTGTAATAACCCTGTATATACCGTAATACCGTAGCGATTTATTTATTGAATATGAATATTTTTAGCTAGGCCTATCTCTATAGGAGATTTTCAAGAAGACTCTTCTAACTTACACTGTTCTGCTGCAGTAACGCAGGCCTATGGTTAGTTCAGTTTATTTAATTAAGATTTATGGATAGGATAATTTATGATTAAAAACAGATTCCATGATATAAAGCTTAGGCCTACCTATTGTAACTTGCATAATTTTTTACACAAAGGCAATTTGTATTGTTTGTGTCCTGTTTCCATGAGCATAGAAATGGGAAATTTTCTAAATGGTAGCCTAGCCCACCTTGTTTGTCTTTAACTTAACTGATTTACTGGATATAACAAAAAAGTCGTAGGCCTACTGTAAAAGTGGCAGGCGGCCCTCTTTTTGAAAAGACCCATAACTTTTCAGAAAATCAAATTTACCATTCATTAAGTTTTTGGTGATTGAATGAAATATTTTTAAAAATTTTCCATATCAAACTACCATCCTATATGATAATAAATCGTATGTTCTCTGCGGAACTTATGTTAATCCATGTTTACTGTAATTTGTTATAACATAATACAGTACGTTAAGCCTAGATTCTAATCCTAATGATAAAAGAAGGTGAAGAATTGACTGAGACGGTGGAGTCGTCCTGTAATCCAGCTACTAGGAGGTCACGGATTGTAATCTTTATAGGCATGCACTGTGGATGTGATGTTCCCTGGTGTGGATTAATGTACGCACTACAGTAGTTAGAACTACCACTATCCGCAGTAGGCTACTATCCTGATAATTAGACCAATTTGTTAATTACAAGGAAAAATTTGGTTTGGATTGTGTTATAAAACTGCAGGTCCCTTAGTTGCCATTGGCTGTATGGGCAATTAATTAACAGCTGTGTCTAGGTAACATGTCGGCCTTAATCACTAACAAGACAACAAGATCACGCCACTCATCCTCCACTCATATTTGGGTTAAAATATGCACATAGAGGTGTCCCCATCTTAAATAATTGAAGCTGTCTTTCCTCCAAGCTGGGTTAAATTAGTTGTTGTTAAAGGTCTAAATCACACACATCAGCTCTGCCACGTCACAGTTCAGTCACATCAGTTAAACTAGTGAGTTTATGTCACAGTCAGAACATACAAGTACCTTATTTTTCAATGGATTTTCTTTCGCACTATCTAGGTAGGTACACTCATCCGGCACAGTTCTGAAGCAGGTCAGTCAGTCAATTTGACGGTGTCCATCAGTCGGTATCAGATTTCTTCCATCGATATTATTTTAAGATTGTTCAGACACCTGACAGTCATGCGATGTAGACCGATGTGTTTGACAATAACTGTGTTTAGGCCTATATTTAAAGTACCGCACCTAGGCCTAAGTTAAGTTAAGTTACTGTTTGTAACAATCATCAAGGATGATGACAGTTTGATGGAATATAATGTTCTAATAAAAGAATTCTAACAGTAACATCACTTTAAATAAAGTGACAGAAGACTGACTCAAATGACAGACAGTTGACCGAGGAGTTGTGGAGACAACCGAGGCTGAACTGTGGCGTAAACTTAACTATGACTGGACTGATGAATATGAATCGACATTAAGTTTACGTAATTGGGTACAGTTTCTTAACTGGGCTATGCTAATATCGATTGAAACTATCGATTCGATTAGTAAACCTTCATGCGATTTTTTCGCCATCAGCAAGTTTGGTTGGTTAGGTTAGGTTATGATGGTTTAATTTTATAATAGATATATTCAAAAATATCAATTATTAATCAATATTTTCAATTCAATAGTTTCAATCGATATTAGCATAAGTAACTTAGCCCAGTTAAGTTAAGAAACTGTACCCTCTAAAATCAATAATAGCCCAAGTTAAATGGTTTGGTAGGCCTTAGAAAAAAAATCCTGTGAAGTACCATAACCTACCGAAATTTTTAGGTTAGATTTCGTAAAGATACCTAACTTATTCTCATGTCTGAGCCTGAGTCTTTTAATTGTGGGGCTAGACATTGAGATAATTTATCTATATAACAACCAGGACACCACAAATAGGCTAAATAAGTACACAGAAGGATTAATGCCAATTCATATTCAGTTCAGCCATGATGCAAAGAATTGAGTTTTTATAGCCTAGTAGGT